ACTCGTCATCAAAATACAACACGTTAACGCTATTCTACGTTCGTGATAGTTTCAAGATTAGAAAATCAAACAAAGGGTAAAAGCGTAAAAAAACGTCAAAATGGGGCGGTGAATAGCAAAAATGGGGCGGTATTTAGCAATCCAGATTTATAAATTTGGCATTGGCTTCTATTCAACACATTTGCAATGGATTTGAAAACAATATAGAACTTGGAATGAAGATTAATATCCCATTGTTTGTTAAAAAAATTATGTAGAATTTTTAGAATTTTATTTGGGAAAAGTAAGGGTACCCAAAGTCCCAAACCAAAATTTATATAACAAAAAGTTTCAAAACTATTCAATCGTAGTACTAAAATACAAAAAGACTGCTAAAGAGTCTAACTTTAAAGTGAAACTACCCTGCCATGAACCTTCTTTTCACTTGCTTTTTCATTTTTCACCCATTTTCATGAGTGAATTACTAGGGATTAATAGGAAGATGATAAGTTTAGAAATGTTGCCAATGTAAATTTTTTTTTTTTTATGAAACCAATGTAAATTGGCATTAGAACAAGTAGATATAAATAAACATAGAGGGGACAGCCCATAAGAGCAAAAGAGGGGCATTAAATTAAAATAAAATCCACTGAAGTTGGCCCAAAAACAATGTATAATAGAAATATAACACAAAATCAAATCAAAGGCTAAAAGACACCCAAAGGGAGGCCAACCAGCTTACATCATGCACGTACTATGTGTACTATCTGGGTGACCGTATCATAGACCTCCCTCTCTTCTCTTCCCTTTGCTTTTCATAGCTTTTTTATCTTTAGTCTTTTACTTAACTGTTGGTGATGAGATCAGCAAAGCTATCTGCAGCAGCAACGGTCGAGTGGTCCCACAATCTTGAGACATTAGACTTTGTACTGTTTCTCGTTAAAGTGACGTGTCCTCTCACCTTCTACTCTATAAACACAATAGACTAGACTAATAATAATCCTCAGTCCTGATGAATCCTGACACTGCGTACTGCCTGCCCCCATTTTTTTTTTTTTAAACCTTGCCAGCGTATCTCTCGCCTTCATTTTTGTTTTCTAAAATTAAAATGCTTTTCTTTGCTTTTGCCTTGTGTTCTTTACGTCTTTTCCTTTTTTTTTCCCCTCCTTCCTTATTAAATTCTTTTCTTTTATTTTTTAACAAAGAAAGATAAAGGTCGGCTCAAAATAAATCCCGGGGAAAAACAGCACCCTGACTATTTGCCTGATACGTATCCATAACTGATATAAGAGGAGCATGGTCAATTTTAAAGTCAGCATCAGGTCACAACCCATCTTTAAGAGTTTATCAGCACAAAAATCCCCCTCCGACTATGTTGGCAACGACTTTGCCACTCCCAATTCAACATCTCCTTGAAGCCTAAATAGCCCAAATTCTTACATGAAAGATTTATGAGCCCAAATGGAATAACATGTGTTGTAGCACGTTCTCCTTCTTCTTCCTTTCCCTTTTTTTTTTTTTTTTTTTTCTATTATCGATATTCCGGATTTGGATCCTAATTCTGAAAGATGAAATATAAGAATCCAACCATTAGAACAAGGGGAAAACTAGTTTTCTTTGTTCCTATTAAACAGCTATCATAGTGCAATTTTACTTTTAAAAAGTTCAATTTTTTGGTACTTGAGGCTGTTATAGATTGAATCTTAGTCACTAGAACTAAGAATTTCACACTGATGTAATTTCGCACTCTGACATCAGGCCAAATGCGACGGATAAGTGCAATTTAATTATTATAGGTCATGCTACTTTGATTAGTGCAAGTTTGGGTGATAGAATAATTCAGATACTACAACCTTTTTTTTTAAAGGAAAATATTTGTAATTTTCATTTATATAAATGAAATTACAAAATAGTAACTATAAATTACAATAGGTTGAAAAAAGTATTCATCATTTGCGTTTAGATCTTGATCTCGCTTCACGACCCGAGCCATCTTGATTATTTGGAGTCTCAAACCTTCTTCATAAGTCTCTAGCACGTGCGACACCTATTCGCTCTCGTTTCTGTGTAATTTAATCAACAGAAAACTTTCAAAAGCGACACAAAGGTGAGTTATTCGAGAACTTCCTTGATTAACCCGTAGATCTGAAAGCAAAATCATATCAAAACTAAGATGCTGTCTTCAATCTATGTAAACTCGGAGACACTAACAGAGTGTAACTAACTAATTGACTCAAACTCAAAAAACTCAACTAACCCAACAGATCTATAGATTTGGGGAGATTATTCTGAAAAAAAAAGAAAAGAAAACAATAAAATCAACCTCCTCCTCCTCTTAGGAGTATACAAAAAAACTCGGAAAAAAACTCAAGAACTAGGAAGAGAAAAAGAGAGGAGGCGGCTAGTTCAAATACTACAACCTTGTGACTTGTGAGTTAGGATAAATGTCTACCAATTATTGAATCAAAATTTTTATACATACATCCAATATATGGCTTTGGGCCTCACCTTGAAATGGTAATGGTCTAATGGACCGAATGGGCAAGGGTGTAAGGCTAAAACATGGACGGATGGACTATTATACACAAAATGGACCTTGGTCATTGGCTAGGCAACTGCGGTGTGCGGCGGTAGTTGTTTGTTTCCTTAGAATTTGATTCGCCAATCGCCAGCATTAGAATTGCTCTCAAGCCCTGTAATACACAAGCCAAGCTTAGCCTACGGAGTTGCCATCTGGTTGAGAGACTCACCGGCACACAAATCTGAAAGCCCCACGTTACCAGAGACTATAGAAAAAACCGACACGTCTCCATTAAATCTCCACGTGTCTAACGGGAACAACATTTCTGGTTTTCTTTTTGTAGTAAAGCCTGGAAAAATCACGGTTGAACCGGGCCTTAATCACTGTCTTTAGTCATTAATGGCATGTATTTATTGGCTAAATCACTTCCATTTGAATTGTATATATCGACCTTTATAACCCTCGAAACAAGTCGAAAATGAATCAGGCAATTCGATCAATTCGAGCTCAGCCACCAGCAATCTTTTCCTCTTCTCTGCAATCTTCGTTTGGCCACAAAAGCTCAGTCGTCAGCTTCCGGTCTGTCAAAACTACTGCTACTCGCACAGAAAATCCCCAAAGCATGGACCAGACACAAAAAGATCCTAACCAAAAAACTGGGTAAGTTACCAATAATAACATGATTGATGTTTGATTTTGATCCTTGTATTATAGTAATTGTTTTGAATATGTGTGTTGAACTTGAAGGGATGTGATGTCTCATTCATTTGGGGAAGGATATGCCACGAGGGCAGATGAGGAAGGATTTGGAGGGATATATGGAGATAGTGATCAAGATAAAATACAACTGGATAAGAAGATTCATGAGAATCATCCCGGTGAGTCAAAGCTTAATTATTGAAGGAAATAGTAGTATATATTTTGAACAACGTTGTTTTGCTTGTTAAAATTTGCCCTGTTTTAACTGCTTGTACGTTTGGGTTTTGTGCATATTGAAGCTTATGACAAGACTCAGGGAAGTGAAGTGAAAGAGAAGGAGAAAGCCAGGCACCAAACTGAGGCATCAAGTTAATTAATTAAGGAAGATAGAGTGTGATGTTTTTTGAGATCTTTTTGCTCGTGATTTTTCCCTTTTTAAATCTAATCTATGATGACTATATGAGATTGAGAGCTGCCCTGCTGAGGCCTTCTCTTTTAGTATGTTTTTATTAACTTGTATTAATGTTTCCTAGAGAAACTATGGCTCGCATATAAATAATCTTTATTTGTTTGATTTTCTTTTTTTTTTTGGGCACAAGTTTGTTTGATTTTCTTTAGCAAACGTCTTTTTTATGTTCATTCAAACTTAATGTGGCAATATTTAATGTGATCTCTTTATTTAAGGGAACTGGAATTATTAATGCAAAACCTGAGATCAAGGTTATTTAATTAAGTGAGTTTAGAAATTAGAAGCAGATTATGCATTTCCATTCACCCAAATTATGAAAATGATGACAAGAACTGAAGGATGAATGAAACGAAAACAATGTAATTGACAAAAATTTGATGGTTTGGGAATTGGACCTTAGTAGTCCTAATTGATTCTTAGTAGATTGGGCTTGCTATAGATGTCTATGGGCCAAAGCAGGCTACTGGTTTCGGCTAGTTCAAATATTAGATATCCCGGTGGGTTTCACTTGTCCCATTTTCTTCAAATGGAGGTGAGTAAAATTGTCTTGAAATTATAATTTCTTTTTTTCGAGTGGTAAAATTATAATTTCTTGGCCATTAAGAAAAGAGAGTTTTAAGATATTTAAATCACTGATATGCTAATGAAACCGTTGAGTTTAAGATTCTGAAAAGTAGATGTTACCGTAAGAGGAAGGTTTAGCTGTATATATTACTCCCTCTGTCCCAAATTATCTGACTCTTTTGGGTCAAAGTAATCATAACTTTGACCCTTAATAATAAAAAAATTATATAGAATTAAATTTTTTAAAATTATGTTTTGATTAAGTTAAGTCTTAAACTTCTCAAAACATATTTTTTGAAAATTTGATTGTGTATATATTTTTTTGTAATTAAAGGTCAAAAATAAAATTAGTTTGACCAAAAAGAGTCAGATAATTTGGGACGGAGGGAGTAATTAATATCGGTAAGGGATGGATGATTGGGTCAAATTAATATTGGTAAGGGATGGATGATTGGGTCAAATTATTGAAGTATTTGATGATTATTCAAAAAGTTAGTTGTAATGCAACACCATGCAGCAAATGGTGAGAAATTATCAGGTGGGATATACTCACCACGTCATCTATGAGACTAACCAATGATATTAAGACAATTCATCAATTTTCTAAAACTCTATCCCAATAATATCTCAAATTTGGAGACTTACTCTTTGTAGAGGATTTATTTTAAAAGGGGGTTAAATCTTGGGTTAAAATCGTGCCTAAATTTAAGGAGGTCATTTGACATGACAAGCTTCTATTTTTTTTGGTTAAAACCAGAAAACTAAAAATTACACCATCTTAAAACCTCTAGGATAAGCAACCCCCCTCATGTCAGCTTGAAAGACAGCCAACACTTCCTGAGGCGGAGAACGATAGACAACATAGTCATCATCAATAGAACACCCAAGCTTAGAAAGCCTATCAACACTGAAATTACCCTCCCTCAAGGTATGATGGCAAGAGCAGCTCCAATCCCGACTGAGAAGATCTCGTATGTCTGCAATGAGAGCACCAAGAGGATTGAAAGCAGTATCCGCTTCTTTAATCAAGTCTAGAACAACCTTAGCATCCACTTCACATTCAATCTCTCGAAAGCCCTCATCCCATGCCAAACAAAGACCCAAGCGTAAAGCTTGGAGCTCAGCCACTATATTTGAGCATACACCAAGGTGGGCTGCGAATCCAACAAGCCATGCTCCTGCTGCATTCCGGATCAACCCTCCTGCTCCAGCTATACCAGGATTCCCACATGATGCACCATCCGTATTCAATTTGACCACCAAAGCATCAGGCGGATGCCAACTAATACTCTGCATTGGCACATTAGAAGCACCACGCACCAACCTAGCTGCACAGACTTCGGCAGAAGTCATAAGTATGTTGCGAACAAGATCGCCCTCCCCACCAACATCATCAGGATCTTGAAAAATTTGTTTGCATCTTCTTGTCCATAATCTCCAGCAAGTAGTTGCAAAATTAACCACGTATCTCTCTTCATGAGTCATACCATCAAGATTACCTTTCAACCAATCCTACAAAGAAGAACTGAAAAACAAAGGCCAGTTCGTATCAATAATCAGCTGCTCCCAAACTGACCTCGCAGCAGGACAATCCCGCAAAGCATGAAGCACATCCTCTACAGCGCTACCACATAAGGGACACAAGGCATCCATATCCAAACCCCATGAGAACCGAAGCCCTTTTGTAACCAGTCTTTCCCTCCTAGCAAGCCAAATAAAATAAACCCATCTTGCCGGGATCGACAATCTCCAAATCCAACGCCAATCACCAACCAGCTCCACCCCTTTATCATTAAGCAAATTCGAATAGGCTGATCTCGTTGTAAACTTCCCATTAGCAGTAGCAGCCCAAACATATGAATCCTCCCTAGGATCAACCATAGGTAGCGGATACCCTAGAACCTGCAAAGCAACATCCAACGGCAACTGTGCAAATAAAAACTCAGAGTTCCAAGCACCACTTGCTAAAATAAACTCCTTCACCCGAACATCCTCGTCCACATACAGTGGGATCTCATCAAGGCTGTCAACTATCGGTTTCTCCAACCAGCGATCAATCCAGAAACGAGCTGTAAAGCCATCTCCGATACGCCATTTCAGACCACTAGCAAGGTCTTTCAAAGCACCAAATAAACCACGCCAAGAGTAAGACCAGACAGGCTTTGTACCATGAGAAGAAACAAAACTAATAACATCATCAGGAATCCCATATTTAGACTTTAAAAGTCTCACCCATAAACTATTCGGCTCCGAGATAAACCTCCAGGCTGTTCTTTGCAAGAGAACACGATTATGTAACTCCATGCTCCGCAAGCCCAATCCACCATAAACTTTCGGTTTGCAGACTTCCTCCCATTGAACAAGATGCAACGTCTTTTTTGTTTCAGAACCACCCCGAAGAAATCTCCGATTCAAGCTATCCAACTTACAAATAATCCCAGTCGGAATCTTTGTAGTTAGCATAGAATAGGTCGGAATCAAGGAAGTAACCGAGCCTATGAGAGTAGCTCTACCAGCCAAAGAAAGAAACTTTGATTTCCAACCATTTAACCGGCTACTCACCTTGTCAACAAGCTCCCGGTAGGTACCTTTAACGACTCTACCATGAATTAACGGGACGTCAAGATATTTACCAAGGTCTTTAGAAGAAGCAAATATCCAAAATTTCACTAACTTTCTGCGCATTCCGAATTGAACCATGGGGGGAAATATAGAGCTTAGACTTCTCTAGGCTCACTTTAGCACCTGAAGCAGAGCAAAAACTATCAAGAACCCTTCTCATAACATGCGCCTGAGCCTCAGTAGCCCTTCCAAACAGAAAAAGATCATTCGCAAAAAACAAGTGGGAGATCTGTGGTCCACCTCTTCCCATAACAATTGGCTTCCAAGTCCCCTGCTGAATCTCTTTCAAAATTAAATGACCAAGACGCTCCATGCACAATACAAACAAATAAGGAGAGATCGGATCACCCTGTCGTAGGCCACGACCAGGCTTAAAATCCGTAGTTTTCTCTCCATTCCAAAGCACGGACATTGAAGTGCTTTCCACACAAAACATAATTAAATTAATCCAAGGCTGGGGAAATCCAAACATCATTAAAGTTTCCTTTAAAAAATCCCAACTAATCCGATCATAAGCTTTTTCCAAATCAATTTTTATTGCCATCAAACCATTCTTCCCTCTTGATTTCCTAATGGTGTGGATCATTTCCTGTGCAACAAGAATATTATCTGCTGCCTGCCTTCCCGGAATAAAACTAGATTGAAGTGGACCAATAAGCTTTCCCAATTAAAGCCTTAACATATTAACCAAGACCTTTGTAATAATCTTATAAGCCACAGTACACAAGCTAATAGGGCGACGTTGCTTTACATATTCTGGGCTACTCACCTTTGGGATTAAGACAAGAAAAGTTTGGCTTAAACTTTCATTGAAAGAACCAACTGCAAAGGCTGATTGAACCAACTCAACCAAGTCTTGTCCAACTGTCTGCCAACATTCCTGAAAAAAACCCGCTTGAAAGCCATCAACACCAGGTGCTTTCCAAGGTTTCATTTGAAATAAAGCATCTCGCACCTCACCTGCCGAGATATCCCTACATAAGAGCCTACTATCCACCTCAGAAATTTTTGGTTGCTCAAGCAACCCTAAGCTCACCCAATCTCTACTTTCTGCTGTATAGAGATCCTGAAAATATTTAACAACAAGCTCCTGAACATGATCTTGTTCCAAAATCCATTCTCCATCCTCGTTTCGAAGCATAGAGATCTTGTTACGCCTCCGTCGACAAATGGTGGACACATGAAAAAAGCGAGTATTCCTCTCCCCATGTTGGATCCACTGTACTCTGGATTTTTGAGCCCAGAAAGTCTCCTCCTGCTTTAAGATCAAATTATACTCCTTCAAAAGTTCCTCTTCCAACAACTCAAGTTGATGAGAGCGTTGGACAGCCAAAGAACGTTGAAGCCCCCCAATCCTAGCCCGCAACTTCTTCTTCTTCTCAAAAAGATTACCAATGTCCTCCTTGTTCCAAACTTTCAACGCCTCCGCCAAAAGAACTCCCTTCCCAAACAAATCACCCGACATAGCTCGCCAACGTTGGTCAACCAATTTCTTACAGCCTGCATTCATAAGCCACATGGCTTGAAATCTAAATGGGCGCTTCGAACTATCCATCACCACATGAGGTTCACATTGCAATAAAATAGGGCAATGATCAGAATGCAAACGAGGCAAATGCCTAACACAAGTTTCAGGAAACAACAACCGCCATTCATCATTAGCTAACACTCTATCCAAACGTTCCTGAACACGGGCGAGACCTTTTCTCTTGTTACACCATGTAAAAGAAGGCCCTGTAAACCCTAAATCAATAAGTCCACAATTTGCAATCATACCAGTAAACGACATGCACCTCCCAACCGAATGAGCCACACCACCAATCTTTTCATTACTATGTGTAACATCATTAAAATCCCCTATCATAACCCATGGTCTGTCTACCGTAGCAGCAAAATTCTCCAATAAAGCCCACAATCGTCTTCGAGTTTCAAGAACAGGACTGGCATACACCACAGATAAAAGAAACTGCAACTCTCCATATTTGACATGAGCATGAACCAATTGCGAAGAGGAATAAAACACATCCACATTCACAACAGATTCCTCCCAACACAACCAAATTCCACCAGCAAATCCTTCAGGGTCTGCCACATGAAACTTGGGCATTTTCAACCGTCGTAAAACTTTCCGTGCTGTATTACCAGAAATTCTAGGTTCAACAACCGCCATAATAGACGGCTTATACAGATCAATCATGTCAATTGCATGACGTCTAAACCTCTTATTACCTGCACCCCGACTATTCCATAAGATGCAATTCATTAAGAAACAAACTCAATACCCAGGCTTTCATTCTCCCAGGCTGAGAATCATTCATGTAAACATCCTTATCACCACATTCTTGACTTCGGGTAATATCATCTTCCATAATTGCATCATCCAATTGAGAATCAACAACCACCGTTACGTTTGTCAATCCATCAGGTGGATTTCTATACCGAACATCGGCACTCAATTCTCCCAAAATTTTAGAGGGAGATGCCAAAACATCATAACCTTCCAAATCCTCATACCCTCCAGCACATACATTCTGCTGAAACCCACCTTTAACAACTGCATTAGAACTCCCATGAGCAAAAAACTTTGCCTGCGCAGGAGAAAGCTGAGACCTAACTGGTCTTTTATCTTTAACTCCACCTTGGGCCTTTCTGGACCCCCTACCAGCCCCAGAACTTTCATATTGTTGCTCCTCAGTATGTGCAAGTCCAGTCTGCTGAATAGTCACCAGCCCATTTGTATTCATCCTACGGGACCCAACATTTGGTTTGCTTCTAAATTGCCTTTGGGCTTCAGAACCCCCCTCCTTAACCCCATCAGCCCATGCAGCTGGTTAGTCTTATGGATGATGTGGTGGATCCGTCCCACCTAATAATTTCTCGCAAATGGTGGCACTATATTTTTGTACTAATTACTATATATATGTGTGTTTATCTCATATAAGTGATTGGTAAGAGATGATTAAGAATAAATTCAATTCCATATTTAAAGAATCGTTTAGTATATATGTTCTAAAATTAGTTAACGAGTAATTTTTGTTTATAAAAAATAGTAGCCAGTATTTGTCTATTATTATTTGTCAGGTAGGCAAAATTAGACTCTAATAATAAAGTTTGGAAAAACAAATGAATGAACGATCCTTCTATTTTCTCTTGAAAATTAGTTATACCAAAATTTAAACAATCCAACGTGTGAATAGGAATAGCTATTGGCCTAATTTCGGTATTTCCAAACACAATAAAATTCCAAAAAATGAGACGGTCAAATCTTGTGAACCAAACAAGGCGGTAAAGGTATAGATGCAGCACAAATGCATATCTATACGGTGAAGGATACGATAGCGTTTTCAGAACACGGGGAGAGATTCACGAGGGCTCTAGAGTCGTCGCTCGCTAAGTCGGTTTTTTTTTATAAGGTCATAATCAAGGCCCACTTGCGTAATAACAACGCGAATACGCAATTTCGCAACAATTGACCTGTAGCCAACTCATATGCGTCACGTGGTCGGTAGCTATTGGCTTAGTTGGGCAATTCCCTTTTCCCTTTTACTTCGGCAAACAAAAATATTAAAATAATAAAGATGCCGACTTAGACACGTGGACACCATCTTAACCATTGATCCTTCCTCACGCTCTTTTTTTCTGACCGTCAATTCATCAATCATCCCGCTATATAATAAGACTTGGTTAGGTTTGGTAGTTCCATTCTAATAACAATCTCTTTCCTATGTTCTTCCTTCTGCTGCCTTTAACCCTTTGTTTTGCAGAGATCAGATTTATTCACCATGATTATCGATCCAAGGATTATGCCTTCGGATTTGGGTTCATCGCTTCTTGATCTTCCTTTTGAGATCAGGTTTATTCCCGATGAGTTAAGACATGGCTAACAGGCAGAGATTGGTTTTTATCTATGGTTTTAAAGTATGTCGTGTCTTCTTTTTGTCTTGTTTATGTCTTGCTTTGAAGGATTTAATGATTAAATCCGTTAGAAGCCGTTGTTGATGTTTTATAATTTTTGCAGGGAAGGACAAAATATATCTGAGATTTCGTCGAAGGTTGCTATGCCTATGCCTACGGATTTAACGTAAGCTTTGCTGTAATATATAAGGCATATGATGCTGTGAAAGACGGGCGATTTGGGATAAAAGGTGGTGGCGATTTATGTGAGGGATATAATTGAAAGGATGTGTAAGATGTCAGGGCAAAAGGTCCAAACTGAAATTTTGAGATTTTGGTTAGGAGGCTGAGTCCTGATCTATCTTTGTCATCCCGACCTTTGCCATGACAGGTGCGCTTGCATGGCAGGTCACCAAGCTTAATAAAAATTTATTTTTTGTGGTGTTCTGAGGGGAGTTCGCACGGGGGTTGCCCGGGTTCTCCCCTCTGCTGTGGTGTCGCGTCTCTTTCCCTTGCTCTTTTTTCTTTTTTTGCTCTTTGCTCCCTATTCCCTTCTCTCCCCTCCATTATTTACACACTATATTATCGAATACCCTGTGCTACTGCGCACCAAATCGGGATGGATGCATATGATCCACATGATCTTCATCAACGACAACGGATTAAGCTCATGATCTGACATCAAGCTAGCTTGCAAATCGCACGGCCAAGGTATTTTCTTACATATTTTAAGCAAAATTCGCCTTAAATTTGCTTTAAAATTTAATTACTATTTGCTGGGTAATCTTATTAGATAGAATCAACCTGTCAATTTGACACTATACTATTCACTTAGATTTTTTTTGAAAAAAAAGATTAATTAATACACGTAACTTTGAACATTTTTTTAACGATTAATTAATTACTTTCAAATGATTTTGATTTAATCTATTTTTAAAATGATTTTACTAATTAAATTTTATTCAGCGTTTTATTTTTGAATAGATTTTTTTTGAGAAAATTAAGTTTGATTAGCAAATGGTTAGAAAATTAAATTAGTTATGACTTATTACGGATAAATGATTAGTTTATCTAATTAATAATTTTGGTAAAGATATTTAACTCTATTTACTATGAGAAAATTGGATTTAACATATGGGGTCTAATTGAAGATGCATGTTAGAAGTCGTGGTTATTCTAATACATGCAATATATGAAATTGAATCTGAAAAAACCACTTGCCATGGCTCATATAGAGCAAATAGTGCAATCATATATCCAAGCAACTATTTGCCCCTAATTAATGTGCTGCCTATATATATCATTATATTGATATACCTCAAGAGCCATATCGGCCATACACATCAAAGATTCCCTCAAAAACCAATTGCATATCCCAGTCACTATTTCTCTATTTTATTATTTCCCTTGCAAAGTCTTTTCCTTGAATTGCCTATGCTATTTACTGCTTTTAAATTATTTATAAATTATTTATATTGGTATTGTTAATTTTGAGCGAACTGCATTATGAGTATCTCAGTAATTTTGCTAGCGCATTAGCAAACTGTAATACTAGGAGTATCCCATATGCAGCATGTGTATTTTGCTTGTATTGTTGCTCTTTGTAGTTGTGTGTAGGCCCTTGCATGGGCTCCTCTGTTCACTTATGGGGTTGAAGTTCGGAGTTCCATCTCTTGCTATTCAATTTTCTGATGGAAAATATCCCAGCAGCGAGCTATAAAGATCGAGGTATATCTGGATTTTACTATGTCAAGCATGTTGGGAATGCAATTTTTCTCTTCTCTGACATTGGAAATCAAGGTACCTTTGGAAGATTTCTTTGCCATCACTTTCGTGAGGAGAGGAAGCTGGTGGAGTCTGATATCGTTCGAGAAGCAGGTCTTTCATCCTTAGAAGATTATTTCCATGATTGCCTAATTGTAGAAGCATTGAAGGCTTATTGTTTGAACTCCACTTGGTTTTACATGGTGCAGCCGGCCTTTAGGGTTGAAGAATTCTGTTATTTGTTATCGGAGATGATCGTCGACCTGTTGACTGTGTATCAAGTTTCGATTACAATAGTGGAATCTTTCAAGTGGACTTCGGTCCCGTGGTTTTTTCCCCTTATTCTTTCAAGGGGTTTTCCACGTAAATTTTGGTGTCTTCTCTATTTTTATATGCTTTTTGGTGATTTCTTACCCCTGACATTTCGAAGTTTTTTTTTTCTTTTCCAACTTTGCAAGTTTGGATATATGCCCATTGCAGCAGATGGCCGAAGGTTAGAAAATCAGTATTTACATTCAAGTTCAACTTCAGTTACTGAATTTTTACTCCTTATCAATATTTACGTTTCAGCTAAAAGTTACTTAAATTTTCACTAATGAATTACTTGGTGCATCTTGACTTTACCTGTTATCATTGTTATTTTGGATAAGAATTCCTTTTGCAGGTAGGTTTCATGCACAGGAAGGTTTTTTATACTGATCATAATAAAGGAATATAAAGTGATTTATACAGTGAAGTTGTTTGATTCTCAAATTTCTCATAAAAGTACAATAAAATTTCGCTCTGTTTGTAGTTATTATATATTTCATTTCAAGTATTACATATAAAGTCTATGGTGTTGAATTGTGTATGTAAATTAAATTCATGTTTATAAGCTGATTTTAAATTCTAGTCTCGTAGTTGTGCTGAAAACCTGAAATTATTTTTATTTCCATTTGAAAATTTGCTTTAATTAATCAAATTAATCAGGTATACGTATGTTTTTAACCAGTTTTTTTGGCAATTACTTTAAAGATGAAGTTGACTTCTGTAATTGATTTTTAGACTAAAATTTTCATTAAATGAAAATCTTTTTGTGATAAATCTAGATTTTGTTTTTCATCAGGTATTGAATGATTTTATATGATACTAATAATAATAGTGTGGTGGTTTAATAGCCTGTGTGGAGGGCGTTATCTTTATATCAATACTGAAACTCGTTAGAAACGTTCTGGCTTAGAAAGGAAATCTGGAAATGTCTCAGTTGAAATAGACGTAGGTATGGGCTCTTTTTCTCCTTGCATTTCGAAAGATCTGTAAGCTCAAAATGGTAGAGCGCTCAAATCCCACATAAGGGGTTCGAGAGGCTGGTGGTTCGAATCCACCCAGATCTCCTATCTTTTTTGTATTGGGCTTGGGCTAATGTTTTGGGCTAAGGTTAGCTTATAACTGAAGTGTAATAATCTATTACTATTATCAATGGAAATTTTGAAATTAATGGGCAATCCAATTTCCATCTTTTGTGATCATGTAGTGGATATTGACATATTCTTCAAAATTGGATCTGATCTAGCAGTGCTGTAAGTGGAAGCTCTGGGAACAATTAAGCAAAGCTATTCTTACCCAAATAGATTTCTCTTTCTTATCTAACAAGTTATTATAGAATTAGTAAAAGTAGCAAGTTTGGGAAGGAACTATGTACTGATATGTACATAAACAAGTTTCTTTTTTTGAAAAAAAAAAAAAAAAATCTAAACCCAATTGTCTAAACTTCTAAACTTCAGAAGTAGAAGAAACTATGTTCATACATTAAATGGTAAATGCATAGATCTTTGATAGAGCAATTATAATTAACAATAGATAGACAATTTTGCTTTCTGCTTTGCTTCATGATTCCATGAATTAATGTTCCCAAAAAAAAAAAAAGAAAAAAGAAACTCTGTTTTCATACAGGCCAAGTTGACGATGCGAGTCATGCCCATCCCTGCAAAGGCCATCGCCTCTCTGGATCAGGAAGCCAGGAAGACTTCTCCTTCTTCTTCTTCTTCTTCTTCTTCTTATTGTTTTTGTTCTCCTCCATCGAAGCAACTTCAGGCCTATCCTCCAT